TATCTGCTACAATGTCCTATCTGTCAATGACTACTTCAGCTTCAACCACAACAATACATGAGCACACAACAGATACAAACTTAAAGTGAACCGCTCTAAACTTGATTGCAGAAAATTTGACTTCAGCAACAGAGTAGTCAATGCCTGGAATACACTACCTGACTCTGTGTTTTCATCCCAAAACCCCCAAAATTTTAACCTAAGACTGTCTACTGTTGACCTCACCCCCTTCCTAAGAGGTCTGTAAGGGGCGTGCAATAGAGCACCAGTGTACCTACCATCCCTGTCCTAATGTTTCCTCTATTCATTTTTTTTTTAATTTGATTTATATGCCGCCCTTCTCCGGAAACTCAGGGCGGCTTACAATGCATTAAGCAATAGCCTTCATACTTTAGTATATATATACAAAGTCAGTTATTGCCCCCACAAACTGGGTCCTCAATTTACCTACCTTAGAAAGGATGGAAGGCTGAGTCAACCTTGAGCCTGGTGAGATTCGAACTTACAATAATTGCAGACAACTGGTGTTAATCACAATGCTATCAGTATGCTGAGCCACCAGGCCCTTAGATACATAAAATGTATCTATTTTATGTATGCTTATACTTATATATATTACCTAATACACAATAGTGGGATTCAAGTAATTCAACAACTGGTTCTCTGCCCTAATGATTTCTTCCAATAACCAGTTTGCCAAACTGCTCAGAAAGTTAACAACTGGTCCTCCTGAACTGATGCGAACTGGCTGAATCCCACCAATGCTAATACATTCTTGACAAACAAAATAAAATAATTTTTTAAAAATCATAGAGGATGTAAGATGCTATAAATGTCTGACAAAGATTGAAGAGGCTTATGTTCACATCTGTAGTCAACTATAAAATTTATGTGGGGGTCTTTGGATCATCTTCACAACAAAGACCAATGTTTCTTTGTTCCTCTTACTACCAGGCTAAGGCAAATTGTGGTATGAACCAAAGCTAGGGGCAAACTGGGGAAGGGCAATGATCTTGTGTCTTTACAGTGGAAGGAAACAATCATTTCTTTTGACTAAATTAAGCGTAATTCAGAATTCAATTTCAAGTCAGTTATTTCACCTGAAGACCAATTTCCTTGCACAACTTACAATCTAGAAGTATTTAGTCTAATTTTGAAACTTTCTTTCTTTCCATTATGTCCCTCATTTTGTTTTGTTAGTAACATTTTCCCTGAGGAAATGTTCTGGAGAACTACCAAACCCGCACATCTGTTTGTGTTATTGTTAGTTGAAATTAATAAAGATACTATACAGCTACAGATTTAGGATAGTTTTTTCTCAACTCATAGGGCTCTTAAATATTAAATATTAATATTTAAATATGGATGATGGAAATGGAAAAAAACAAAGGAAATGCAATATATAATGCAGTGGATTGTTGGAATATATTGTTCATTTCTGGCAGAATAATTCTATAAATGTTCACTTAGAAACTTTGCTTACCTATACCATGAGAAGATTGCATTAGATTGCAATCCAAAACTATTTTAAGTTATTTATTTAATTTGCACACCCTCCAATTCCCAGTGACTCTGGGAGATTCACAAAGTAAAAGAATAGAAAAATAATGATAAAACAATACAGCAGCAAGGCAGGAGAAATTATAGCAAAACTAGACAACAATTTAAAAAAAACATATCCATACCAATTTGATGGTCTCTTTAGTAGTAAACATATATATCAGACATGGATTCTAGATTACACCCTGAAGGAGCCACAGTTTGAAAAATATTAAATAATTGGTAGCAAGCCATGCTGCCATAGAGTTAAGAAGGTTGCAGAAAAAGAATCAGATATTACAGGTGTCCTGCAGGTTGTAGATTGCCCAACTCTGCTACATATAAAATTCAGCGAAACAAAATATCATGTATTATTATTAGCTGTGAATAATGTTTACACATTTAAAGTATACGATTGCTTTATTTAACAAGTCTGTTTGTGTGGTTTTCCATATAATCTAATCATATATCATGATTACAATAGTGCAATAAAATTGGATAAGCCACTTATTTGTGAGATGGATATTTAAAATATTTTCTCTCACACTCTTTACAATTTTGTGTTTTAAAAAAAAATCCATTGAAAAGAGATAAATCCATGAAGATTATCCAAGCTCAGGGTTTTGGTTTTTTTTTCCTGGAGGGTCTACCTAGGCAGATGGCTGGTTCACAGCACACTTAACCCTAACCCCATGCTAAACAAGCACAATTGCAGTGTTCACATAACATACTATGCCCAGATGAATAAATTATTCTATGGCTTAACGTGATGACCTAGCTCACACAACATGCTAACTCTTGGGAGTTAAGAAAACAGCTGGGTTTCCCACAAAATGCTGAACCATAAGCTAATCAACCTCACTTTAGTCTACTCTAGCAAGTTTACATGCACTATTCTCCTGAAAAAGATAAGTTAATCAAGCTCTATTTTTCATTAGTCTAAATCAGCAGGGATCTAATTGCCAACTGGTTGCTTATATGCCTGGAGTCAGAAAATTCTGTCATTGCATTGCAGCTGCAATTCTACATTCACTACCTTGAGAGTAAGCTCCATTAAACTCAAGGGGCTTTATTTCTGAGTAGACATAGTAAACTAAACATTGCATATCAGTGTGCAATTTAATATTCTGTTTTTATATTCGTGTTAAAAGGTTTAAAAAGCAAAGTGAGAACATTTTCAGAAAAGCAGGAAAGCCAAAACATATTTTAAGAAATATGTTTGAGTTTGCCCCAATGGTCACATGGGATAATAGATATGAGACATAAAAAAATGAAAGTAACATTTCTCTTTTAAAAGAATTGAAAAATGAATGCAGAAGCCATTGTGTGAACTCAAAAGCAACAAAACTGAGGTTGATGTTTCTCACTTGAGATTTTGAAATAAATAGGAACAACTTCTACAGCTTTATGATTATAATGTGTACAATACTTTTTTATTGTGTGCGATAACAATTGAATAATTATTTTATAGTAGAGGGTATTTTTTTTTTTATCCCAAGTGATTTTATGACTCGATATGGGGTTAAAGTACTATTGGAGAATTGAAACATGTATTTAATCTTTAAACGTATTTATTTTAGTATCACAAACATTTTAAACCCTACAGACCATTTTCCAGGGAATTATGAATTATGGAGTCTTATGATGTCATCATGTCCCCAACATAATCCCTAATTTGATGGAATCATAGTAGTTTACCCCAGGGAAAAATAAAGCTGAGGCACTAGCAGATTACAGCTCTTATTTTTCTAAACATGTGCAAAAAGGAGATAATGTTCTCAGGGATAGAAAAAAATGGTGTAAAATGGATGAGCAGAGCCCTACACTTGCATTAAAATTCATATTATTTGTGGTAGGGATCAAAGTGATGCCAGCAATTGATGAGTGAAAGCAATCTCCGTTTAACTTGCATTCATTTAATATTCAGACAGACAAATCCTACTAGATCATATCTGATTACAAGCATTGTTCATTTTTATGGAGGTGCTTTAAAATTCACTCCAACACAAAACCATGTGAATTCTCCAGAAATATTGTAACTGTTCAGTTGCACTTTCTACTGCAAATAGATCCAATAGCTCACATACAAAAATAAATATTTTCCTAATATATAAACTGGACCATAAGAAAGGCTGAGCGCCAAAGAATTGAGGCCTTTGAACTCTGGTGCTGGAGAAGACTCCTGCGAGTCCCTTGGACTGCAAGGCGATCAAACCAGTCAGTCCTAGAAGAGATCAACCCTGACTGCTCTTTAGAAGGCCAGATCCTGAAGATAAAACTCAAATACTTTGACCACCTAATGAGAAGGAAGGACTCACTGGAGAAGAGCCTAATGCTGGGAAAGATTGAGGGCAAAAGAAGATGGGGACGACAGAGAATGAGATGGTTGATGGAGTCACTGAAGCAGTAGGCGTGAGCTTAAATGGACTCTAGAGGTATGGTACAGTGGTTAAGACATCAGGCCAGATACCAGAAAACCATGAGTTCTAGTCCCATTTTAGGCATAAAGCCAGCTTGGTGACCTCAGCCCTTGAAAGCAGGCAATGGCAAACCTTTTCTGAAATTTTGCCAAGAAAACTGCAGAGACTTGCCCAGGCAATCATCAGGAATCAACACTAACTTGAAGGCACCAAAATAAATGTATGAACAAACTAACAATCCACTGTTGGATGGATTTACATCTTACATTGTAAGATGTAAATGTATTCATAGTGAAAGTAGTGTTGGCAGAGGATAGCATGGGGGAGAAGACAGGTCCCTTGTCATTTTTGCAACACTTGACCAACAATACTACAAATTTTAACTTAGTATACAAAGAACCCTATAGCTGTGTTCACACAACATGCACAACAAGGTCACACGGTTAACTTATGTTATGAATCAGTATGCTTGGATACTTTATGTAACTGTGCATATCCAGAAAATGGATTAATTGGGTAACATAGTTAAAATGTTGTGTAAACACTCTTAATATAACCATTGCATTCAGTGGGGCTCTCAGATCAGTTGATTAAGCAGACTTCCCCACACCATCTTCCAAAACACAAAATATACTGGTTGGAGATTATGGGAGATGATGAGAATTTTTGTTCAACACTTCTAGATAGTGTTGTATAGTGTTGACAGTGTTGACAGGCAGGCATAACTGTAGTGTAAGACTGCAGCACTAACTAGTATAGTTAGACTGATACACTAAGAAAGCAAACTTTTGATCATGTTTTAGTCCTGCCTAAATCCAACCAGACAACCAAACCAAACCAAACTACAAAGACTTATATTGGTGATTTGCTATTATAATTAAAACATAGATTGGGTTTACTTAAGACAAACTTAATCAGACCATTTAGTGATCTAATACCCTTTGGGTACAATATTCTAAATTTCCTTTAGATTGTGATTAAGTTCAGTTTATCATTATGACTTATGATTTACGAGCTCAGCCAAACAGATTAATTGATCACCTGAAGTATCAGGATGGAATAGCGTTGAACTGGGTATTGGTGGTTGAGGATGGATGCAGCTTGCTGAAGACCTTTGACTGGAAATCAAAATCCTGCTTTTCACAGATGGCAACCTGGAAATAGCACCAAGTCCTAACTGGGGTTTAAGGATCATTGTTGAGCGATAAAAGCTTGGAGGCACCTCATAGTGAGCATATGGTGGAGGAGAAAAATTGTCTTTCGCAGGCCTTTCTCCAACCTACAGAAATATAAATGTATTTTTATAATTCTATCAATTATAGACATTTAAATTATTACCTTTATAAAGGGAAATTCAAGAAAAATACAATAGAAATCATAATATGCATTCACTCAGCTCTTTACAAGGATTGCAGTTAATATTTCTCAGCATGGTTGCTGCTGTAGTATCTGACAGAAATGAAAAAAATGACACACTAATATATTATAAATTGAATAAATAATATAATGCAGTCATAACAGAACATCAAAATATTTAAATATATTTGCTTAGGAAGAAAACAAAAATTTGGCTTATATGCACCCTGGGTTTATGTCAGAGAGATTCTATGGTCAGTTCAGGAGCCACAGAAGTTTCTATGACAATAAATCCCCACAGATTTATTGCTATGAATGTGAAAATGATGAGAAGAGCTAATTTATTTAAATTTTCCCTCCCCATCCTACTATCTCCTCCCCTGTGGGAAAATTAACTAGGCCTGCTCCTCTTTGGGCTGATTGAAAAACAAAGGAGATGTGAATCTAAAATCTTCCCCAATTTATCCTTGAAGTGTTTTTAATAATAGGTCTTCTGGAGAATAAGAACTTCCATTAGTAAATCAATATTGAGAATAAATCTAAAGCACATATGAAAATTTACATCTGAATAAAGAAGCATGGGATTGTGCCATGCCATTGAGATACATATTAGACCAGGGGTAAAATCCAGCAGGTTCTGAAATTTTGAGCAGTTCGGAGAACCGGTAGCAGAAATTTTGAGGAGTTCGGAGAACCGGTAGCGGAAATTTTGAGTAGTTCAGAGAACTGGCAAATACCACCTCTGGCTGGCCCCAGAGTGGGATGGGAATGGGGAATTTGCAATATCCTTCCCCTGGAGTGGGGCGGGAATGGAGATTTTGCAATATCCTTTCCCTGCCACATCCACCAAGCCATGCCCACAGAACTGGTAGTAAAAAAATGTGAATTTCAGCACTGTATTAGACTATACTGTGAAGCCTGGCATTTTTAACCATGTTCATAAATAAGGCCTCTCTATTCTTTAGGGTTATTCTTTAACCCTATTCTTCAGATAGATAAAAGAGCATTTCATGTAAAACATCTTGATTTCATTCAAATTGTTTGAGTTTCTTTCAACTGGACTACAGCCAACCCAAAACAGATTAACCAAACTTTCAGCAATGTAGTATTTTGCATCGAATGTGAAACAACCCTCTTTTTCTATTCATGTACATTCCACATTGTTGGGACTTTTCAATGTCCAGGGCACTTTGTTAGATAAGTTAAATCAACATAAAAAATAGCAGACAGGGGATTTAGCAAACTGTTTTTGATGGCAGATTGAGACCATTAGTTTTAAAAGCTAATGTCAAAGCTTTGATTTAAATTCAAAAACAGTTGGCTGTTGGAGAAAGAGATACAGATTGAACCAGTCAAGTGGAGCAAGCCTGCTGGTGAATTGCTGTAAATAATTTCTGAATATACAATAGAGTCATCTCACTCTCTTTTTTAAAAAAAAAATTTGGACAATTTTAAAACTGCTTTTCAGAGCAAGAGAATTTTCCAGCCATGTTTACATCACTGCTATAGCAGGTGTGGTTTTTGTACTGTGAAATCAAATATATCAACCTCGAATTTTGTGACAATTTTCCTAAAAGGAAACAGATTCATAGCAATAGCATTTAGACTTATATACCGCTTTACAGTGCTTTACAGCCTTCTCTAAGCGGTCTACAGAGTCAGCATATTGCCCCCAACAATCTGGGTCCTCATTTTACCCACCTCAGAAGGATGGAAGGCTGAGTCAACCTTGAGCCTAGTGAGATTCAAACTGCCAAATTGCAGGCAGCCGGCAGTCAACAGAAGTAGCCTGCAGTACTGCATTCTAACCACTGCACCACCATGGCTCATAAAGAAACATGAGACAATAAAGAACATTTCTTTCACCATACTTACCTAGTATCTTGAGTTTCCCATGTCATCGTGATTCTATGTACTTTAAAAAAAAAAAAAAATCTACAGATTTTTTAAAATTGAATATTTGAAAGATTATCACAGATTTTAACAGATTCACATTTATTTCACTTCAATAGCCTGTTTTTTTTTTTTTTTTTTTTTAAAGACTTACCTCCTGGAAAAACTTTTCACCCATTGGACCAAACTGATGGTCTGAGGATTTAATGCCAGATACTACAAATCCAGAACTGTAAATCTGAGGCTTCTGAAAGTCAGTTTTAAATTTTTCGTAGAAAACATTGCTTGGTTTAATGTCTCCATCATTTAACATTTTCTGTTCAGTTGCCAACCCACAAGCAGGGGGCATGCAAGACAATCCAGACTGATCAAGCTGGCTGATTGCCTGAGGGTTCCTTCTAATGTAAGTTATTATTTTAGGCCTCACATGTTTGGGCTTGGGAATGGCTGGCGTTTCAACCTTATCTTCAGGTTTCTCCATATCCTCATGCTCACCATTGTAACTGGCTGGTAGGGGCCCCTTGGAATTTATAAGGATAGGCTTAGGGATCCCACTGTTACATGTAGTTTTATTAGGCACTTTAGGGGATGAGTTAAATAACTGGGTGCTCTCAGTGGGAGGTAGGGTTGCAGAAGATGGCAGCTTGTCAACATGAAGTGCACAAAGTTCCTTCAAACTGCTGTTTGACACTGTGCTGTGGCTACTGGGATTCATAGTTGCCGAAGGGCGCAAAGGAGTTGGGGGACATAAAAAAGTTTCACTTTGTGCTATTATTTTACAGCTTTCCGGTGCATTATTTGAATGCTCTTTCTTTTCGTTAACTATTTTCTTGCTCTGAACTGAAAAATTTGTGGTTTCTAAATCACTGTCCACAATGTTAAAATTTACCAAGATATTTTCTGTATTTTGTGGTTTGGGAGCTTCCAAATCAGATTGGACAATTATAACATCTTCACTGGGTCCTTTGAGTAGAATCTGTTTATTTTCATAGCTATTCAGATGTTTGGTGTCTGTCACATTAACGCTATCCATAAAAGACATATGCCCATTAACTGCTGGAATACAACTTGTGCTACCAATGTGTAGGTTTTCATTCCTTGTTGACGTCAATTTATCAACATGTATAGTACCATCATCAGGAGCTGAAATAGAGTCTACCTCCTTCATAGCTCTATATTCCCCATTCGCTTTGCTTGCTACTTTGCTGTTACTATAATTATTTCCTTTTCTTACATCTGAAGAGCCCTTCTCCCTTATCAGACTTCCATTAACAGAGTCAAAACATTCATTTAAAAACAGATCCTCTTTTGGCAACTGATGTAATTTGGTCTTGTGTATTTCTGTCTCCGTATCCTTTTGATTCTGTACCACAACATTATTTTCTTCTGCTGGGCATCCAAGAAATTCAAATAACATAACCTTGTTTATTTTTTGCTCACCCACACGCTTAGACTGTGAAGACAGAGGACACTTCACCTCCCCTTTTCCTCTCTTATCACTTTGATGGTCAATTTGTGCTTCTGATTTCCGAAGTTCATTGGATTTAACAGTTAAATGGAGGTCAAGAACAGCATGATGTGGAGGGCCTTGTTTGTTGGCATTTGGTACGTTATCCACCCCTGATTGTATGGCTGGGGCACTTGCTCTTTCCATTTCTGAGGTAGACGAATATTTAGAATAAGGTACAATTTTTCCTTCTGACACACCATCAGTTGGATGGAACACCATACCTAGAAAATGGTCTCTTGATGTTTTCTGAGTTTTCTCTATGTCCCCACTCAAATGATGTGACGTGTTGATGGAATCCAAGGATACCGAAAGTAAGCGTTTACCTGATACACGACCAACAAATTCTTTTTCTGTTTTAGCCATAAGTTTTCTTGATCTCCCCAAAGAGAGGCGTTTTATTCCTTCTGGCTCAATACTTCTAGGCGTTTTTTCCTTTGAAACATACTGAATAAGATCAGCATCGCTTTTTGAAAGTACCACTGAAAAGTTATCACTTGTGTTGATCCTCAGGTTGGACAAACTGTGTCCTCGGCTAATAGTGACTAGCTTTGAAGTGTCCTTAAGCCCTTCGGGCCTACAATCTGTGTGCAGTTTCTTGCTGATGGTAGAAGATAGTATAAACTCTGATTCACCAGTGATGCCCTGAAGATTGTTCCTCTCAGAGTCTAACTGTCTGTTGGTTTCTTGCTTACTGGTGTGTAAGCAAGCAGATTCTCCTGAAATATTTCTTGTCCTTATTGCTGTTCCAGGGGTTCTGACCTCCGATGTGATTTGATTGGCATTTGTGTCTCCTACAGACACGTGTTCATTGTTATTTTTCATCTCATTTCTGTTGGTCTGTAATAGATTGTAACATGACTTGTTGGGAAGTAATGGTGCACTCATTTTCAGATTTCAAGTGGCCACGTCTTCCACAGTCTTACTGAAAGGAAATGGTATCTGTGCCAGCCACTATCCAAGCATGCTTTTCTTAAGGGGACTCAAGTCATAAACTGGTCAACCAAAAAAATTCTTTTTTTAGACCAGTCAAGTCCCTTGTCAATCACATGACTCAGTCATTATTAGTTCGGAATGTAAAGCAAAGAATTTCCCATAAGTAAAGATTCAATAAGTGCAAAAAATATCCATTGGAGCAACTCTAAAAATGCAAGAATCCATGGAATCTGTAACAGAAAAAAAAAATCAGAATTATTTCGGAGAACTAGAAGTCTGCCCGAGAATAAAGTTGCTATTAACTGACAATATTCTCTCATTATTTTTCAACAGAACGATACACCTAAGTTCACTTTCTTTAGTAATGCAAAGCAAAATTACTAAAAGAGCAATAAACTGTGGTGGCTAAGAGTGTGCATTGTAAGTAAGGGAGACTGTGTGAAGGTCTTAATCTAATACTCAATTCACCAAATAACTTTAGACAAGATTATTTTAATATTAGTTTTAGTCCCTGTTTATAAATGTTCCTTCCAATAGGAATCTGGAACAGCAGTGGAGGTGAGCAAGTGCCCTCATAGATTTTTTATGGATTTCCCAGAGACATAAGGTTGATTACTGCAAGAATCAATTGTTGATTACTATACAGTTATATATTTGTTTTTATACTGGAGTTTCATCCTTTTAAGCTTCCCAGAGTCACCAAGAATGAATTGGGCAGCCATATAAATTTTCTTCATAAATAATAAAGATATTGGTATGATTCATTATGAGTTTTTTTTTAATGACATGAGGATAGTAACATGACATTTAATAGGACTGCTGCTGTTGTAAGGATTTATTAAATCTATGTAAAGCACATTAACCACTTTTTTAAAAGCCCATAAATGCTAAGCATTTTTGTATAGACTTTGATTCCACAATCCACAGATAATCCTAACAGACTGCATAATTAAGGTATGTTCTTAGCAAAGTATATGGGCTGAGATGCATTACACATGCATCTAATACTTATGAAGATTAGTGAAGGTTTCATTCCTATAATGCTTAATTAATTAAATTAAGGAAACTGAACCGAAAATAGGGATTTAATTTAAAGTTTTAAAAAATATTTTCCTCTAAATGTTCTCTAGGGTATTAATTTTAAATAAATGTTGTGACCTGTCTTAATTGTTAATAATAATAATTGAACTAGTAGTATAGAGCTCCTTGGGGAAACTACATTTTTACTCATTCTTTAAAAGGAACAAGAACTCCTTCTGGCTAAATAAAACAAGGAAAATAATACTGCCTTTTCTTGTATGTTTTTTTTTTTGCCAACTTCCTCTTTTAAATAGTATTTTTTTCATTTACAAGGTAAATAAAAGTATAAAAAGAACTATATTTCCAGTGCTAAACCAATGTATCCTTTTTCTGTTGTTTAACCGAAATCCTTCATTTGTGACATGAACTGAATCACTTCGGCTAGAAAGCAGGAGACCATGAGTTCAAGTTCCACCTTGGCCATGGCCAAGTTGATCATGGCCAGTCACTCTCTCTTAGCCCAACTCACCTCACAGGGTTGTTGTTGTTTTTGTGGGGAAAATAAGAGGAGGAAGGTGTAACAGTAAAAGCAGCAAACTCTGATCAATCTACACTAGAAATTAAATCTCAGGAGCTTTTGTTAGCACACATCAAAACCAAGATAAATTGTATCAGCTCAAATGTAATCGATTATTTTTTTAATTTTAATATAAATTTGCCAAATCCTTATTTCATTTAGTTTCAACGTGTAAACTAAAGCTATGTTTCTGCCGTTTTTATTGTCATTTATCCTTTTAAAATAGCATGTACGAATGTGTAAATTAGAGGAAAACATTTTACTCTGAGTAGTTTGGTTTTGTATATTTATGTACAAAAATCCACAACAGTAACAGAATTAGATGTAAGAAATTCTTAAATCAGATAAAATTAACATACAATAGAAGAAATGACCACAGAGTTTATGAATTTTCAAATAGACAGAAGTAGAATTAGGATGATATGTATGCATGATCGAAAAAGAGGGAGAGAAACAGAAAGAAACCATAGTTGATAAAATTGCCCATCTGTGCCAATTGTTGTTGTTGCTGTTGTTGTTGTTGTTCGGATTTTAATCTGAAAAAGAGAAGGATTTTGAGCTTCTCTCTACGGTTCACTAACACCATCTGCTACAAAACCATTCTCATCTCTTTTTAAAAACAAAAAGGCACACTTTCTTACAGTTGCAGGCCTTCAACACAATATTAGTAGCAATGGTGAAATCCAATTTTTTTTTACTACCGGTTGTGTGGATGTGGCTTGGTGGGCGTGGTGTGGCTTGGTGGGTGTGGCAGGGGAAGGATACTACAAAATCTCCATTCCCACCCCACTCCAGGAGAAGGATACTGCAAAATCCTCATTTCCACCCCATTCCTGGGGCCAACCAGAGGTGGTATTTGCCGGTTCTCTGAACTGCTCAAAATTTCCACTACCAGTTCTTCAGAACCTGTTAGAACCTGCTGGATTTCACCCCTGATTAGTAGCAAGGGAAGCTATGAGCATCAAAGCCAGTGGTGGGATTCAAGTAATTTAACAACCGGTTCTCTGCCCTAATGATTTCTTTCAACAACCAGTTTGCCAAACTGCTCAGAAAGTTAACAACTGGTTCTCCCAAAGTGGTGCGAACTGGCTGAATCCCACCACTGATCAAAACTATGAAAGACACTCCTTTTCAAAGAAAAGTGTTTAATTTTTACACTTTTTTCTTGGTACTCAGAGGATTCCCCTTTCATTTTTCCACCCCTTGAAATTAATAAAGTCTCAATTCTTTTGCCCTGTTTTCCCCAAAATAAGACATCCCCTGATAATAAGCCCAATCGGGCTTTTGAGCGCATGGCAATAAGGCCAAGCGCTTATTTCGGGGTTAAAAAAAAATATAAGACTGGGTCTTATTTTCGGGGAAACACGGTAGTGACCTATCAATTGGCTGTCTTTTTCAGAATGTAAGGTGTACAAAATCTTTGGTATTAGTTTAAGTTATAGCATTTTATCCTCTGTTGTTCATTCTAAAGCTATTAATTAAAGGGATTATATTAATTATTTTTATTGGAATTTTTCTTAGGGGTGACATTCAAAATTTTTCAGACCGGGGTGACATTCAAAATTTTTCCCTACCTGTGGGCTTCCCTGTGGGCATGGCTTGGTGGTGATGGTGGGGGGGGTCATGTGACTGAGTGGACGTGGCCAACCTGACATCACTTACCACCCCACCAAGCCACATCCATCAAGCCACGTCCACAGAACTGACAGAAAAGTTTGGCCAAGTCTTCTACCATACAACCTGGCTGCTTCTCGCCTCCTTCTCATGTTTACTCTTTGTATATGAGCCCGAGAAAGAAGAGAGAAGCAGCCACGTTGAATGCTGTGGCAGAGAGAAGCTGAACTTTTCTCCCTCCATTCACAGCGGAGCTGCTGAGAAGGCAGCCGCTGCAGTCTGTCCCTTTATGATCCTCCCTCCTCCTGGGGGTCGAAGTACCTTAAAGGCACAGGCAGGCTGCCGCAGCTCCAAGCAGGCTCCCTTCCCTTCACTGCGAAGGGAGGAAGGAAAATTTGTCCAGGTCTTCTCCTCCTTCTTGGGCATACACACAGAGCAGAAAGGGTGAGCGACGAGCGGGCGAGGGTCAGCGGAGTAAACCAGGGGTGGTTTTTACCAGTTTGGCAAATCACTTCAAATTGCCACTACCGGTACGTGCGATCCGGTTCGAACTGGTCAAATTTCCCCTGCAGTAGACCAATCCAATACACAAGCAAAATGTAAATAGACTCTTAACTGGATGTCATGGAAGCGCCAAAGGCAACAGGCGGAGAAAGGCTAAAGAAAAGGTACTAGACAACAGATGGTTTGATTCAAATCACAACAATGAATTCCAATTATAGCTTTTTCCTCTTTTCTTCTCTTCCTCTCATTTAGATTTCCAGCAATTGGAACATTTAAAATAAGATAATTAATTTCAGGGTGACATTCTAAGTATATCTTTTCCTGTAGTAGTAGAGATATTTTTATTTGGTATAAGCGGTTTTTCCCACACAAAAAAATAATCCCTTTTCAAATGTAGGTATATATTACTTTGTTCTTTCATTAGATTTATATCCTGGCTATTTACCTCCCAGTTGTTTAAGATTGCTTATATGGGATGCTCTTTATTTACATAACAATTGCTCTGTAGGGTCAATTGTACCTAAAGAGGATAACTGCCTCCAATCTCATCAGTCAGTTTTCTTGAACTCTCCTAACTATATTCTATTTACCACAATAACAGATTGGAAGAACCAACCTAATCATTTAATGTGAAAGTATATTGTTGATATTAGATCAGGGGTGGGTTCCTCCCGGTTCGGCCCGGTTCTGCCGAGCCGGTAGCGGTGTTTTGTGCTGTGCTCACCACCCTCTGTAATGTCTTTCTATCCACGGCTGTCAAGCCAGCATACCACACCATAATGCAATGAGTGAGGACGCTTTCTACTGTGGACCGATAAAAGGAGGTCATCAGTTGTTGTTCCACTTTATTTTTTCGCAAGACCCTAAGGAAGTGGAGCAGTGGTGGGTTTCAATTGTTTTTTACTACCGGTTCTGTGGGTGTGGCTTGGTGGGTGTGTCATGGCTTGGTGGGCATGGCTTGGTGGGTATGGCAGGGGAAGGATACTGTAAAATCTCCATTCCCACCCCAATCCAGGGGAAGGTTACTGCAAAATCCCCATTTCTTCCTGATCAGCTGGGACTTGGGAGGCAGAGAATAGATGGAGCTGGGAGCTGAGGCCAGTCAGAATTTTTACTACTGATTCTCTAAACTACTCAAAATTTCCACTACTGGTTCTCCAGAACTGGTCAGAACTTACTGAAACCCAACTCTGAAGTAGATTCTCTGTTGGGCCTATGTGGCCACCTGGGTCGTGTTGATTTTCCAGATGAGATCTTCACTGAGATAGACTCCCAGGAATTTAAAGGAGGAAACTCTCTCCACACAGCCCCCCCTCGATGTAACTGCCTCCCTTTGTAGAGAGCTGCCTAATTGAGGGGCTAGCATCCTGCTTCCCAAATGATGGCTCCATCCAGCCCTATGATTTTGAACCTTTTCTCTGGAGGCATTTTTGTACATTGGAAGGAAGACTGATGGCATTAAATAGAACTCTGTCCTAAATTTCCCCCTAAGGCAGGAGTGTCAAACTCAAGGCC